TGATAATTTTTATTATTATTATTTATATTTTAATCTACATTAAGTTACAGAATAGATAATAAATTTGTATTTTGATTTTTAAATCATATTTTAAGATTTTTATCACTTTCAGTTTTGGGTGTGATCAATTTTGGGGACTCCAGTTTTGGGTTTGATCAATTTGAGTTACTTTAGATGTTCTTTTATGAAATTAAATTAGTTTTCTAAATTAAGCCTCCTATGCACAATTTAATAAACTAAAATTATTGTACACACAAGAGAAAATTTTTAGTAGCTCATGGTGATTATGGCGATTTAATTACCACCAAAACCAAGTGGGTCTATTTTATTCAACGGACAATTTTTCAAGTTCGTCGAAACTCTATAAAGTCTAATTAGCTACAGTTTTGGAGACAGTCTTGTATCTTTAGAAACAAGACGTTAAAAACTTGTTGGCACGACTAAACGTTTTTCATTAACCCCTGCTAGTTTTAATTTCATGTTAAGTTTTAGTTCTGTTTTGTAACAACAGTACCCAACAATTTTCCCATTTTTCACAAAACATAAAACAAAAAACACATTACTTTATTCTTCATTCTTGACATAGAAAAAAAATTTGCAACAAAACATACATTAAGTTCATTCACCATTCTTCATACAGAAACACTTATTACACTGCTTAAAGCTACATTATATTCCATACTTTGTGATATTTTGATGCAAAAGCACAATTAACAATCAAGCTGCCTGCCTCAAGTAGAAAAGGCTCACTCTAAAAAGAAGCTAAGTAGCACTCAGAGTAATGTGCTTATTCTACTGTACTTATTTGTTCATTTGATTTGTTAATAATCCTGGAAGTAGCACGAAGATGGAGGCCTCCATCTATCTGCAGAGTCAACATCGTTCGGTAATTCACCGGTTTTGTCTCGTCGGCCAACTTAAAAGAAAAGGCACTCAGCAGCACGGCCGCAAGAACTTTCATCTGCCTGTACGCAAACTCCTTCCCAAGACAAATTCTTGGGCCTGCCTGCATTGGTACGTAATTGATTTACGTTTGGGTTAAGTTATAAAATATTCTCCCGAGGTTTAGCCTAATTATGTAAAACTACTAATATTCTATAAGAACTACAAATCCCCCATTAAGGTACCACTTAGCATTACAGAGTCAAAACAAAATACAAAGAGGCCATTTTGTATTTTAGATTTTTTTTTTTTATATTCGCGTGAGACACCTTACCTGAAAAGCTGTAAATTTGAAAGAGCTCTCGTGCCGGAACACACCATTTTCATCGAGCCACCTCTCGGGCCGAAACTCCTCTGCATCCTCACCCCACAAAGATTTCATCCTTCCCATAGAGTAAGGTACATACGACACCAAATTCCCCTTCTTAACACTGAACCCGTCCGGAAAAGTATCGTCTGCAAAACACATCTTTCCATCCTAGAAAGGTCCACACAAAATTTGATAAAATCCAGAAAAAAATAAATATGATGTTAACAACAACAACAACAATAATTTGCAGACTAAACTAAATTTCCAGATTAGTACCGCTGGAATCGATGGATATAGCCTGAGAGTCTCACTAAGAGCCGCATGCAGAAGGTGCATTCTATCAAGTGCTTCCTCGGTAAGGCTCATTGCTATCTCGTCAATGCTTGAACTGTCGTCCAGCTTTGCTGCCTCCTTAACTTCCTTGACAAGCTTTTCTTGCACGGTCGGGTGCTTGCACATCAAGTAGAAAAACCACGAAAGTCCACTTCCCGTGGAATCCTTACCGGCAATTATAAAACTCAGTATTATGTCCTTTAGGTACTTTGGGTCCTTTTGGTCCATTTGCAGAAACCTTGACAGTATATCACTCCTGTTCATCTGCCGTTCATTCCCAAACACGCGTTATCTCGATTCCAATCATTAAGAAAAGCATAATAAATTTTTATTGAAAAAATAATTTTAAAAGAAAATATATAACTTGGTTGGGCTTGCTCATCTGTTCCATCTTGCTCTCGATGACCTTGTAAACGAATGCATCGACGATTTTGATACATTCCTTGAGCGTGGCTTCAGACCCGATGTTGAGAAACTTCTTGATCTTCCATGATATGTCCACATATCTATAACATGTCATCTCACTTGCTTTGTCAAAAGCCTCCGAAAAATGAGAACCCTCGTTCGTCCCCCGCATGCTGTCCAGGTCGACACCCAGAACGACTTTGAAAACCGTGTCCAGTGCCGATTTCATGAACAACGCCTACAAATTAGACATACCTGAAATTGTAAATCCCAACTAAATTTCGTTTAACGACCGGACAAGATTGATTTACAAGAAAAACAGAACATATTGAAACCTGGATTTCTATGATCTGATTCGAATTCGCAGCTGAAGAAACTATGTGGGCGAGATTAGCAGCATTAGTCTTGAAGACTCCACTGCTGAAGTCTCTGAGGTTTCGAGTTGAGAATTCGTAACTGGACATCTTCCTTTGCTGCCGCCATTTTTCGCCGTCGACTGTGAAGATACCATCTCCCAGAAGGCCCTCCAAAACGTCGTGGTGGAACGAACCCTGCAAATTTGCTAATCAATTTCTCCACAAATTAAAAGGCACTAGAACACTCCAATTGGATCATTAAAACCACCTCTGCAACTGGGATCATTAATCGCAGCTAAAAAAAAAAAAATACTAAAAATAAAACACTGTCTATTTCATACCTTGCCGTAGTTTGCGAAGTTGGTCTTGAGGAAATACTCAACGTTAGCAGGGTCCGAAGTGTAGATTTCGGAGTTGTCGAGGTAAAGTATTCGAAAAGTAGTGTTTTTGTGAGTGAGGTCTGTAAGATAGTGATAGAGCTTGTTGAAATTGAGCATGAGGTGAAAAATTGTGCCCCCAACGGGATGGTATCTCTTCTTATCTTTCTTCTTCCCAAGCACCACCACCATCCTTATCAGACATGCTGCAAAAACTGCCATCAGAGCTGGGAAAAGTAAGTGTTTATTCAACAAATCCATCTTTTTTTTTNNNNTTTTTTTTTTTTTTGGCAGATTCTACACACCAGTGTTTGTGATCACATATGCATACTTATGCCTATTTATACAGTTTAGGGATTTATTTATTTATTTATATTCTTAAGGAAGAACGAGTCTCTACAATTAGCTACAGTCTCATTACGGAACTATTTCGTCGGGATTTATAACAGTTAAATCATCATGTAATCGTCCGAATAGTTGATCTAACAGTTAGAAATCCCAATAGTACAGTCTCCTTATTCATCTCTCCTACGAAGTAATAGATGAAGACTGTTAATAGATGAAGACTGTTATTTGATTATATGTAGGGAAGTGTTGACTAGCAATGAGTGCAACGACCGCCGCTTGATGGAAGTCTTCGGGTAGCATTAAGAAAGATAACGTCTTAAATTGGGATTCACAAATTCAGTGGCTTTGTGGAGTAAATAAATGGGAGCCACTATATGAAGTGGGGAATGATTTGATTGCAAATTTTTATAATATTGTAGGATGTTATTAAATATTTTCCCAACCCAATCAATTGGGTAAATTTCCAAAATATAAATTATTATTTCTCTTATGCTGTAATTGAATTATTATTATAGCTGGTATGATACCCGTGTACTACAAGAATGTATAAAAAAAATAATTTGAACAAAAAAAGTATAAGAGTTTAGTAATTATAAGTATATACAAAATAAATAAATTGAAGTTTTGTAAAAAGAAATTATTATACATTGTATTTTATTTCAAATTCTCAAGAAATTCTTTGTACACAACAATATTAGTTCTAAATTTTGTAATGAATGAAAAATTGATTGAAGATAATAATGTAAGGTGGAAAAAATATTTATGGCATTTCCAAGTCAATTTTGCTTCCAAAATTTTTATTCGGACCTAAATACAAAGCATACTATTGTGACATGTAGAATTCCATAGCGTCCGAGTTTACCACTTAAACTTAGCACGTTTTAATTTAATATTCAAAAAGATAATTGTGTCATTAGATTTGTACGTTGCTAGCTACCAAACTTAATTGGAATTCTGCGTAGATTTATTTTTTCTTATTTATTTCTCAAACATAAAATGACATAATCAGTGACTTCAATTGAGGATAATTATTGCAAGCGCCTAAGATCGTAATTTACCCGCAAACTTTTGAAGACTCCAAATGTATGACCCGATAAGTCAAACGATGTCTTGCCTGCACCAACGTAATGGTTCACACTTCACAGTTCACACTGCAAAGTATAATTATTTCTTCGAGTAATCTATGATAAAGCTTTGTTTTCGGTGTGCTTTTCAAATTTGACGTGCTTCAGTTTTGTCCGTGGGGGCGAAATTGTACAACAGATAGAAAACATGCCACTAATGGAAGTCCAAATTAAGGATATTATAGACCATAGCCTAATGTTTGAATTTTTACTTCAAATCCACTTTTCCAAATAAAGTATACAGGGGTGGATGTATTCAAACAATTGACAAATTATATTTATTTATCTCAGTAACACACAACAATTTCTCTCACTTGAAATCCTAACTCGTCGATTCGCCGATTGCCTTATCTAGCGGGCCGCGAGGCTCAATGACGGCCACCCCTTTGGCCGCGCAAGTCAGCCCCTCTTTGTCGATGTCGTTATCCTCGCGCTAGGTGGGTTTTTCGTCTTATCCCAGAAGTTTCTCGCCATTACCCTGGTTGCCTTTTGGGTTGTTTGTCGTCACTCTCTCGGGCGGAGCGGCGGTGGAGGTTCTGCGGAGTTGGGTTACGATCACGACAATCTCATTGAGGTGGTTGGGATTGAGGCGATTGGATTTTCTCCTCTGTCCCTTTCGCCCCTGGTGCTTGGGCTGAGGGATGGTCGGCGCGACGAGTTGGCTCCGTGGTGTGAGCGAAGCCTAGGTGTTGTGGTAGGGGTTGTCCGGTATTTTTCTTCGGCTAAGGGGTGGGATCGATTGCTTAGATGCGGGTTTGAGTTCGTAGGTGTTAGTCTCAGTTAGACGTGTGTTGCAGTTTCTGGTTCAAAGACTAAGGGCGTGAACTGATCTGTATGGGTGGTCGGCTTGTGTGTCGTGGTCGTAGATTGCGTTAATGAGTTGTGGCCCATTCATCTAATGTGGGCCTTCCCTCTCCCGTTACTACTTTGAACGCATTAACCACTTTTTTTTTTCCTTTTGTTTTGTTTTAAATGTCATTAAATGCATTTTTTTATTTATTATACTCATTCAATTTTATTATTACATATTTAATTTAATTGTTATCAAATCACACTTTTTAATATATATCAATTGTAAAATTGTATAATATTTGTGGAAAACTCTGAGCTCGAGTTTGGGAAATTTTATGTGTTCTTATTCCTCAACTCAAACACAAAATGTACGTACAGCAGCTATATAAAGCCCATGCAAGACTACAAACAATGCGACGTCGTGTCTACTTAAGCAAAACGACGTCGCTGCCTACTTAAGATGAAAAGAAAAAAATGGTGTCGCATACACACAAAACGACATCGTAAAAGCAACAGAAATAAAGCGGGAAAATGCAAATAGAAAGAACAGCTTGATCTTCACTTCTTCACTCCAATATAAGCTGCGACCTTGATCTTCAACACCCGCCCCTCAAGTTGGGCCATGGTAAGTATCAAGCATGCCCAACTTGGACACAAGAGCAGCAAAACGTGCACCAGCAACAACTTTAGTAAAGAGATCCGCAAGCTGATGCAATGAGCCAACAAACATAGGAGAAATGAAGCCTTGCTTGTATTTGTCTCGCACAATGTGACAGTCTATTTCCAGATGCTTGGTACGTTCATGGAACACTGGATTTGCTGTGATATGCATAGCGGCCTGATTATCACACCAAAGTGGAATAGGAAAGTCAATTGAGACATGAAACTCCTGAGCCAAATAGTGAAGCCACAGTAACTCAGAGACTGTAGAACCCATTGCTCTATACTCAGCCTCTGCTGAAGATTTAGAAACCGTGTGCTGCTTCTTGCTTTTCTAAGAGATAAGACTATCACCAAGAAAGATGCAGAAGCCTGTTATAGATCTCCTTGTGTCCTTACAAGTTGCCCAATCAGCATCACAATAGGGAACAAGAGTGAAGGCAGATGACTTGTAAGGATAAAACAGACCAAGAGCAGGTGTTCCTTTCAAGTACCTCAAGATGTGCAAGGCTGCATGCCAATGAGAATCATGTGGATTATTGATGAATTGACTGAGCTGTTGGACTGCATATGTGACATCAGGTCTAGCGAGCCCAAGATACAACAGTTTCCCAATAAGTCTCCTAAACAATTCTGGTTCAGTCATAGCTTTTCCACTTTGTGCTTCTAGTCTGATACCCAATGACAAGGGTGTAGGGGATGTTGTGCAGTCCAACATCTTTAAATCAGCAAGAATATCAAGAATATATTTTCTCTGACATAAGGAAACACCTTTGGAAGAATAGGTGAATTCAACACCTAAGAAGAACTTAGCAACTCTAAGATCCTTGATAGTGAACTGATTATGAAGAAACTGCTTTAGGCCATGAATTAAATCAACTGAAGAACTTGTAACCAGGACATCATCAACATATACAAGCAATGCCATAAAATCTGATTCCTTAGTAGCAGTGAAGAGACAGTGATCATAGGAGGATTGTATAAGACCATAAAGTGATAGTTTTCTGCACAGCTCATGGTTCCACTCCCTTGAGGCCTGTTTGAGGCCATAAAGGCTCTTAATTAACCTACACACTTGCCCAGGTTTAGCTTTATCATATCCCAAAGGTGGAGTCATGAACACCTCTTCAGAAAGTGTCCCATGTAGAAAAGCATTATTCACATCTAACTGGTGAATAACCCATCTTCTATGAATTGCTGTGGCAATAAAGAATCTGACTGTCACTAGTCTAGCCACAGGTGAAAACACATCAAAGTAATTGATTCCTTCTACCTGATTATACCCTTTAGCCACCAGTCTAGCTTTATACCTCTCAACTGAACCATCAGCTTTTCTCTTGATCTTGTAAACCCATTTACTCCCTATTGCTTTCTTTCCTTGTGGCAGCTCAGTGATTTCCCAAGTGTGATTGTCCTCCAAGGCATCTAACTCCTTTTGCATTGCCTGAACCCAGGAGGGATGTAAGACAACCTCTTTATAATGAGTAGGTTTTTTGTCTGTTGATATATTGCCCAAAAATTCCAGGTGGGACAAAGAGTAGTCATGATCAATGACACAAGAATCATTTGACTGTTGTGTGACTGAGGTTCCTCCACAAACATAATCATGGTGCCATCTAGGTGTTTCTCTTGTTCTTCCACTCCTTCTTGTTCTTTCTTCATTATTAAGGGAAGACCTTTCTTGCTCATTAACCACTGGAATCTGTGATGTATCATCTCTGGCTGCCTGAGGTATCACCATCTGATTTGTATATGTTGTAACATGTGGAAATATGTCATCAAAAAAGGTCACATCTCTGGATATAAAGCATTCTCCAGTATCCACATCATACAGCTGAAAACCTTTGTTTCCTGGTGCAAACCCCAAGAATACACATTTGCTGCCTCTGGGTTCATATTTAGATTTGAAAGGATTGACCTTAGTTGCATAAGTCAGGCAGCCAAAGGGTTTCAATTTGGTATAGTATGGGGCCTTTCCATATATCCTTTCAAATGGTGTTGTCCAATGTAAAACAGCACTAGGTAATCTGTTAATGATAAAGGCAGCAGTTAAAATAGAGTAGGGCCAAAATTTTATGGGAAGTTGTGATTGGTAGATCAATGCTCTTCCAATTTCCAGAAGTTGTCTGTGTTTTCTTTCAACCACCCCGTTTTGTTGGGGTGTATACACACAACTAGTCTTATGAATCATTCCTTTCCCTTTGAAGAAATCCTGCAACTCTTTTCCCAAAAACTCTTTTCCATTATCTGTTCTTACTTTCTTGACAGTTGTTTCAAATTGTTTTTCCACCATCAGAATGAATTCTCTCAGAAGTTTGGAAGCCTGTGAATTTTGCTCCATTAGAAACACCCACACTCCTCTGCAGTAATCATCTACCACTGTTAAGAAGAAAGATGTACCAGTTATGGCTTCTTCTTTGCAAGGGCCCCAGATATCTGCATGCAACATTTCAAACTTTCTGGCTGCATGTATAGTACTCAATTGAAAAGGTAGTCTGTGTTGTTTAGCTTTATGACAGACTTCACAGGACTTGATTGTTTTCTCATCTGTATCCTTATATTTTCCTTTGATGAACTGCAAATGCTGTAAGGTGCTAATACTTGCATGCCCAAGGCACTGATGCCATTGCTCCAGAGAGAAGTTGGAACTAACACTGTTTGCATGCACCACACTTTCTTTATCTAGGATGTATAGATTTCCTCTTGAAACTCCTTTACCAATAAGCTCTCCAGTATCACAATGATGTAGCAAGCAAGAAGTGGATGAGAATGAGCATCTGACCTTTTCATCTAAGCACAGTTGGCTTACTGAAAGCAAATTATACTTGAAATCTGGCACAAACAGCACATCATGTAGAGTTAAAGTGCTGCTTAAAGTCACTTGCCCCAAAATATTCACCCTTGTGTTTGTTCCATCTGGTAGACAGATAGTCACAGGATCCTTCAAGATAGAAGTGTTCTTCATTAAACTCCTATCACCAGACATATGCTTGCTTGCTCCCGTGTCTATTATCCATTCACTGCAACTCACATCCTTTGCTGTAGTTAGTGCAAATTGCATCTCATCATCCATTCCTTTTCCTGTAAAACTCACCATCTGTGCATAATCAATTCTATTTTCTGTACTCTCTTTCCCCTTTAATAACTGTGTGAGCTCCTGCAATTGTTTAACAGCTAGTGAAAGCTCATTCTCCTTTCCAATCTTCTTTTCCATCCCTGATTCCTTCCATTCCTCACTTTCATCACAATAATCAACACTATTTGCATAGTTCACTCCCTGAGCTTTCTCAAATCCTTGTACCACTCAGGTACACCATGTATTTTGAAACAAGTAGATACTGTGTGACCTCTCATCCCACACTTATCACAAAACAATTTTGTCTTCTCCTCTCTAGTTAATCTGTTAAAACCTCTACCTCTTCCTCCTCTACCACCAATACTTCTCCCTTGATTATTAAATCCTCTTCCATATCCCTCAGATTTAACATTCATAGCTAGACTATCAACTTTCTCAAAGATGTTACTCACATTTTTCTGCCTTTCTGCAGTGAGTATCATGGAATATACCTTATTAACACTAGGCAGAGGATCAATCAACATAATCTGATTCGTAAGATTGTCATATCCTTCGTTCAATCCCATAAGAAACTGTATTAATTTGGTTTCTGCCTCATTTTGAGCTGCCAATTTTCCTTTTTCACAGTTGCAAGTTTGACAAGGAACTACACAGGCATATTCATCCCAAAGCTTCTTCAGCTTGTTGAAGTACTCCATTACAGTACAACTTCCTTGTACCAAAGTGTTAATTTCTCTCTGTAATTTGTATTTCATCGGACCGTTATTTTCTCCAAATCTCAAACAAATTTCATCCCAAAGATCTTTTGCAGTTTCAGCATAAACAAATGATTCAGCAACTTCCTTAGACATAGAGTTTAAAATCCACGACAAAATCATCCAATCAACCTTTTTCCATTCTTCATAATCATCATCATCAACATCGGGTTGAGAAATCTCACCATTGATAAAGCCGAGCTTCCGTTTAGCTCCGAGAGCTATCATCATTGATCGGCGCCATGACAGGAAATTGTTGCCGGTCAATTGATTCGAAGCAAGTACCAAACCAGGGTTGTCAGATCCATGGAGGAATAGAGGATCCTGATTGCCTTGACGCGCGCCAGATCCGCTTGCATTGAACACGTTCTCACGTTGCATCGCCATTGATGATCAAGCTTCACGTTCACCCAGAATCGATTGCTCTGGATACCATGTAAAATTGCATAATATTTGTGGAAAACTCTGAGCTCGAGTTTGGGAAATTTTCTGTGTTCTTATTCCTCAACTCAAACACAAAATGTACGTACAACAGCTATATAAAGCCCATGCAAGACGACAAACAATGCGACGTCGTGTCTACTTAAGCAAAACGACGTCGCTGCCTACTTAAGATGAAAAGAAAAAAACGGTGTCGCATACACACAAAACGACATCGTAAAAGCAACAGAAATAAAGCGGGAAAATGCAAATAGAAAGAACAGCTTGATCTTCACTTCTTCACTCTGTTTGTCCCACTTTTGTTATCTTTTTCTTTGTTTATTTGTTAGTATTTTTCCCCC